CACACACACACACACACACACACACACAAATCAGAAGATAGGATCCACATGAGAACAAGTTTTATCTTTATTTCTGAGCCTGAATTACTTCGATTCATATCTTTCCATTACATTCATTTTCTTACAAAGTTTATCTTTTTTTATTCATGAATCCAGTTTCATTGTATATATGTATACCCCGTTTTCATTCCCATTCATCAGTTGGTGGATGTCTAGGCTGATTCCATTTCCTAGCTGTTGTGGTAAAGTATTGATAAACATGAACAGTGTTGCCGGGGTAGGATACAGAGTATTTTGAGTTTACACCCAGGAGGGTAGAGCTGGGTCCTTTCTTTTTGACAATTCTTCACACTGATTTCCATAGTTGCTGTACTGGTTTCTGTTCCCATCAACAGTGAGCAAGTGTGCTCCTCTTTCTCCACATCCTCTTGGGTGTAATTGTCAACTAGTTTTGTGATGATAGTCATTATGACCGGCATAAGATGAAACTGCAAAGCAGTGCTGTTGTGTGTACACATATATGCACGTAGAAGCCAGAGAACAACCTGGGGTGTCATTCCTCAGGAGATACGGTTCACCTTGGGTTTTGTTGTTGTTGTTTTGAGATAGGTTCTCTCATTGGGCTGGACCTATCAATTACATTAGGCTGGATGGCCAGCAAGTTCCAGGGAGATCTTACTGTCTCTACCTCCCCAGTGCTTGGGGTCTAAGAATATGACACACCTGTTTTTTGTTTTGTTATTTTTATTTTTGTTTTGTTTTTGTCCTGAGAATTGAATTTCGGTCCTTGTGCTTGGATGGCAAACACTTTATTTACCATATAAAGGGGCCACCTTCCCAGCCCCCTCAACACAGTTTTAGCTTGCAATTTAGTGATGGCTAAGGATGTTGAATACTTTTAAAATACATATTGGCTGTTTGTAGCTCTTATGACCTGTCTCTTCAGTTCATTGTTCAATTTCTTGATTAGCAGTTTTGGGGTATTGGTGTTTAATTTTGCTGTTCTTCAGTTGTTTTAGATATTAACCCCATCTTAAATATAGTTGGAAAAGATGTCTTTTCAATTCTGTGTGCTGTTTGCTCTGCTGATAATGTCCCTTGCTTTGTAGAATAGAAGAAAAGGTAAGAGATACCAGTTTTTAAAATTTTTTAGTTTATTATTTCTCTCTCTCTCTCTCTCTCTCTCTCTCTCTATATATATATATATATATATATATATATATATATATATAGTGACACACCATGCCTGACTCAGCATTTACAGTTTTAAATCAAGCTCTTTGGTCCACTTTTAACTGACTTTCTTAAGGGTGACAGATATTAATTTAAACTCATTTTTCTGCATGTGGAAATAGTCTTGTAAACACCATTTACTTAATAGGCTGTCATGTTTCCAGCATGTTTTGGCAACTTTGTCAAAAATTAGGTGTCCATAGCTGTATGGGTTTATTTCTGGGTATTTATTTTCTCCATTGTTCCTTTTACCAAGTTATACATGTCTCTTTTTATTCCATTACTATATTATCTCTATCATTATGACTCTGTAGTATAGTTTTGTTGAGACATGGTCTTACTATACAGCCCTGGTTGGTATGGAATTTGCTATATAGACCAGGATGGCCTCAAACTCACAGTGATTGTCTGCCTCTGCCTCTTAAGCACTGGGATTAAAGTTGTACATCACAACAACCCGCTCAGCAGTTTGACATCAGTTTTTATGACATCTTTGGCATAGTTCTTTCTACTTAAGATTGGTATGGCTGTTTTTCCATATGAGCTCTAGGATTTTTCTCTAATTTTGTGAAGAATGTCATTAGATTTTTTGATAGGGATCACAATTAATCTATAGATAAGTTTGGGTAAAGTGCCATTTTCAAGTATTAATTCTGCCAATCCAGGAACATGGAAGTTCTTAGCATTGTTTAGAGCAGTGTTAATCTTCCAAATGCTATTACTCTTTAATACAGTTCCTCGTGCTGTGATGAACCCAACCATAAAATTATCTTCAACTGTAATTTTGTGACTGTTATGAATCATACAGCAAATATCTGATATGCAGGATATTTTATATGTGACCCCCTAAAGGGTCTGTGACCCCCATGTTGAGTACCACTGATCTAGTGTCTTTGTCAATTTGTTGAGTGTCTCAATGTTTTCATTATAGGAGTCCTTCGCTTCCTTGGTTAGGTTTATTCTTATGCCCTGTAAACCCAATAAACCCACTGGTTCCCCAGAATGCAATTGTACCTGTTTGTCACTGGAACCTTAGGAGGTTAGACATTGTTTACATCTCCCCTGGGAAGAAATTTTAGCAAAGCATGTGAGTGAGCAGGAGTGTAAAGGTGTGTCTGCCCATGCACCCGCACAAACAGGTCAGAGCAGGGCACTGGGTAGCTTCCTCTATTCTGCTCTACTTTCGTGTCTTGAGACAGGGTTTCTCATTGATGGTAATACCAACGTTTTGAGCTATACTGGCTGGCCAGTGAGATCTCTGGATCTGCTTGTCACCAGACCCCAGTTACCAGTATGCTCAGCTGTGGCTGCCATTCCTCATGGCCTCTGAAGATTTGAGCTCAGGTTCTCAGGCTTGCAGAACAAGCATTCCCTAAGACTTCATTTCCCAAGGCCACAGTTTCCCTTTCACCTCTAAATGTACTAATTTTGGTCTTCTCTTTCATTCGGTTAGTTTAGCTCTGGGTCTGTCATCATTTGTCTTTTCAAAAGAAACAGCTCTTTGATTAATTCTATGCATTTATTCTGTTTCATTCATTGCTGCCATAATCTTTACTAGAGCCTGAGGTATATCACTAGGTTGTTTGAAATCTCTCTGATCATCGTACAGCTATAAACTTCTCTCTTGGGACTGACCTAGTTATATCCCAAAGGTTCTGGCAGATTGTACTTTCATTTTAGTTATTTTTAAAAATCTCTCCTGATTTCTTCAATGACCCACTGTTGGTTCAAGCTCCAAGTATTTGTGTGCTTCCCAAGTTCAGCCTTGATGATGTCATCTATGTCACTGGATTTAGTTTTTTCAACCCAATCAATGTGTGTCTTTTGTGAGTTAAGGGTGTTTGCAGTCAAGGTTATATTGAGAGATGTTTGTGATTACTGATGGCCCTCATGTTGCTGTTATTCTGGTTGGCTGGCTCATTGGTAGTCCTTCTCCTGGTAGTACTGGAGGTTTTCTGATTGGCTGTGTTGGATGTGATTCCTTCCCATCTGACTTCCATTCATTCTTCTCATGTGATGTACACTCTTTTCTGTGTTCTCATGGATGAAACTGTCTTTTTCTTCTGTGTACAGAACTCCTTTAGTAATTTCCTTAACTTATATTTTTAATTGCTACTTTATATGTGTATGGATGTTTTGCCTGAATATATGTCTACATGCAACTCACATGTGCCTGGTACCCGAGAAGGCCAGAAAAGGCATTGGATCCCCCAGGAACTGAAGTTACCAACAAGTGTGAGCCATCATATAGGTGCTGGGAATAAACCCCAGTCTTCTGGAAGAGTGATCAGTGTTCTTAACCACTTAGCCATTGCTCCTTAGGCCCCTTAGGCTTATTTTAAAATATTTTACTTTTGATTTCCCCACCAATTTTAATAGATAACTTTGTTGGGTTCGTTATTTACTTTCAAGGCTTATAATGTATCACCAGTTTATGCTTTCCTAGTTTTTAGAGTTGGTGATGAAAGAGTTGATGTTATTCTGATGTTTTTTATGTATGAGTTGACATTTTCTGCTGATAGCCCTTGTAGTGTTTATTTGCTTAATTTTCACATATTGACCAGAACATGTCTTGGAGAGGTTCTTATCTGGTCACGTCTATTTGCAGTTTTAGATTCTTCCTGTGTTTGGATGTCTTTAGATTTGGGGAATTCTCAGATAACAATTCCACTGAACAGAGGGACAACCATGAACATGTACAGAGGAAAGTTGTGTGATAAGGCAATATGTGATGTGGTCTGCAAACAAAGCTGTGGGCCCAGAAGAAGCCATTCTGCCAATACCTTGATCTTGGACTTGTGACAGACAGTTGTTAAAGCCACCTGGCCTGTGACATTTGGTCACAGGAACTCCAGGAAGCTGGGTATAGAGAAGAATGTGACATAAAAAAAATGTGTAAACATGATATAAGAGAAGCTGAGATAATTTTGCCACAGAAGCCAAAACAAGAGTGGTTCAACAGGCAAGACAGTCACAGTTATGAACTCTACTGGAAGGTCATGGTGAAACCCCCCAAATACTCTCCAGACTCAATGGTATCCTTTCTACTGATTCTCTCAGGGGAGCAAAAGTAAAATCCATATACATGAGGAGTGTGCAAGTGCGTGTATAAGAGAATGTATATATAGATGTGAGTGCATGAGTGTGTGAGTGCGTGTGAATGTGTTCTTGCATGTGTGTATAAGAATGCCTTGGCATGCATGTGGGAATGTGTATGTATCTCTATCATTGTGTGTGTGTGTGTGTGTCTGTTTTTGCATGTGTGTGTATGTAAGTGTGAATGTGAAATGAAAACTAAATATGGAGAACATTTAAATTTGCATACTGAAAAGGAAATGGAAAATTAAAGATTTTATTTTTTTGGTTTTTTGAGACAGGGTTTCTCTGTGTAGATTTAGGGCCTATCCTGGCACTCACTCTGGAGACCAGGCTGGCCCCGAACTCACAGAGATCCGCCTGCCTCTGCCTCCCAAGTGCTGGGATTAAAGGCATGCGCCACCAACGCCCGGTGAAAAATAAACAATTTTTAAAATTTTTGTAATTAAAAAGTTTCTAATGGGAAAGACTAAACTTAGGTGTATAGTCTTTGGGAATAAAGAAGTGGTGGCTCACTTTCTGGCTGGTGAAGGTTCTTAGTTTTTTGGGTTTTTTTAAAGATTATTTGAAATACAACTTTATTCTGATTCTAAACAAAAAGAATGGGAATGACAGTAACAAACAAGATTTTACCACTGACTGAATAGTGTGATGTGACCGTAGCAGTCTTATTTTTGAAATTCAGGAAGGAAACAACCGTGTTCCAAACAGCTAAATATGCAAATCCAAAAAAAAAAAAAGAAATGAAGGTATGTTTTAACTGCCACATTCACTCCGAAGCCCATTCATCTCCTTCAGCATCCAATGAAGTACACGATCTGCTTAGCTAAATAAGGTGGCACACACGCTGCACCGCTGACATCACAGGACAGTTGCCTATAAAACTAGACTTCTGACGCAGGGCTCCGGCTTCACTGTCTCACAGGTCATCATCCTCATCGGGGAGCGCAGTCATTTGAGCAACCTCTAAATCATGCTCGTACTGGGCTGCCGAAGCTGGGTCCATGACCACCTCAGGCGGGGCAAGAGCAGGCATGGCAACAAACTCCAAGTTAGGGTCTCCAATGAGCTTTCTGGCAAGCCAGAGGAAAGGCTTTTCAAAGTTGTAGTTACTTTTGGCAGAAATGTCATAGTACTGAAGATTCTTCTTTCGGTGGAAGACAATAGATTTTGCCTTCACTTTTCTGTCCTTAATATCCATTTTATTGTCACACAATACAATGGGGATGTTTTCACACACCCGGACCAGATCTCTTTGCCAGTTAGGTACATTCTTGTAGGTGACTCTTGATGTTGCATCAAACATTATAATGGCACACTGGGCTTGGATGTAGTAGCCATCGCGCAGGCCCCCGAACTTTTCCTGGCCGGCTGTGTCCCACACGTTGAATTTAATGGGTCCTCTGTTGGTGTGGAAGACGAGCGGGTGCACCTCCACGCCCAGGGTGGCTACATACTTCTTCTCGAACTCGCCCGTCAAGTGGCGCTTCACGAACGTCGTCTTCCCGGTGCTGCCGTCGCCCACCAGGACGAGCTTGAACTGGACCTGCGGCTCTCCCTGGGCGGCCATCGCGGCGATCCTTCCAGAAGACTCTCCGTTTGACTCAAAGGTTCTTAGTTTTAACTGATCTTTTCTTCCCGGATTCTCAGCTAAGCTTTACCTTGTAAGCAGGGACATTTCCTGTTACAACCTCCATTGGGTTGGCAGTTGGCCAGCCATCTATTTTCAGCACGGTTGTGAATTTTCACTTTAATGCCACTGATGTTAGTGAGACCTGGGGAGAAGCTTTAAGTGGCTGTTTGTTGCTCGTCAAGAATCACACACACACACACACACACAAAGACAAGGTTCTAAATTTTTCAGGTTTCATGAAGCATCTAAGGTATTTCCAGTTTATTAATCATGGCAGAAGTCTAATACTTTTCTCATAGTGAGAGCTAGACATCTCTTTACCATCAACAAACATTTGTGTGTCTCAATTGTTTCATGAGATGTGGAAAACAAACGGGGAGGATTATTTTCAAAGTCCTTAGTTCCTAAGCAAGGAACTAGTTGGTATACCAGTGTGTTTTTAGTATACACTTACAAAGCCTACGAGAAACCAGCCTGTCTCCATTCTGTAGTCTGGGCCCACTTTGATACTCTAGCTCACTTAGGTTCCTGTTTCTTGGAATCTGACCTACTTTGACCTGGCAGTTTAACTGTAACCCACTGCCCAGGGCCATCTGTTCCCAGGCATGTTCTGTACCCATTGTACCAGGAGAGACTTTCTTAACTGCCAGGTCTTGCTTCTGTAACAACCTTGCTTGCAAAATCCCCCACCCTAAGGTTTTGCCATACAAAAAGGGCTTGAGAAACTGGCTCAGGGCTGATCTCTTCAACTCCATCTTCTTAAGGGGAGAAAGTCACTGGCCAGCTCCTATGTATACAAATAAAGCTTGATTTGAGTTGACCATAATTTGGGTCAGTGGTCTTTCTGCTCACATCTGTGGGATTAACATACAGAGGTATTTTTTTTTTTAATGCAACACATATTAGCTGACATGATAATGGGGTTCAGTGTGCTTTTACATAAATATATATAGGGTGCACTGATCAAATTTAGCTGTATATACCCTCACTGTCTGTAACCACTCCTCTACTTTCAGGTATTCTGTAGCTTCCACCCATGACAGAGAACAATGTGGTGTTTATCTTATTGTGTATTGTTTATTTAATACCATGGCCTCTAGTTCCATCCACTGTGCAGAAAATGGTAAAATTTCATTCTTCTTTATGACTGAGTAATGTTCCATTCATGTAATACACCACATTTTATCTATCCATTCACTTATGGACAACTAGTTTGAGTCCAGCCTGAAGACAGCTGTCCAAAGCCAAGAGTTCACTTACGGGAGCAATGAACAACAGCTCACCCGGCTTTCCTCCAGGATTCCTATTCCAGGGGTTCTCTGTCCCAGGCCTTCTCTAGTACCATTCACAGGTCACACTAAGCCAGCTAGGAGCTGCACACTGAAACTGAACTGGGTTTGTAGGTGGGGGACAGGTTATTCTCAGGGTTTTCTAAAGTCACTCGACAGGCCTCAAGACCAATAGGCTTTCTTCAAGATCCCTACACTGAGCAATGTAGAGAAGGGCAGAGGAATCCCTGTGGAGTCGACCAACAGCCTGTCCTCAGCCCCAGGGTATCTCTGAAGGCACGGTTGGCTGATGCGCCTTCTTTCCCCCGGGGCCTCCCTGTTCTGTCATCACTCAGCTCTCCTTAATGACACAGCCAGCCCTTTCTTCTGTAAATCAGTCTGATAGAGGGTAAGAAAACTAGATCCAGGGGGTAAAAAAAAACAACAATGCAACTATTAATGATAGGAAATTTATTTTTATACAAAGTTATATAATCTGAAGCCAAGGGGCTTCCCCAAATAAGCTGTGCAGTCCTGTATCACAGTAACAATTGCAGTGAAACAAAATTAGAATTCATAAAAGACTATCCAGAGGTTCCAGAGTAGGGGATGCAGCCAAAAAACAGCCTTGTTCCATGAAAACTAACAGTCACTCTGCGCCATGGATTTACTAGCCAGTTGCTAAAAACTGGATTCTATGCTGGGCTGATTGCTAAGAAACCAGCGGTGCTGAAGAGGGAGATGCAGACCGTGAATGGCAGGCAGCAGCCTTACTTCTTTCTAGGAAAGTAGTATCTGCAAAGATGCTTAAGGAAGACACATCTCATCACTTTAACCCAACTTTACCCAACTACTAGTTCTCAGGTAATCACTACAAAACACTCTAGAGGTCCAATGTCTTAACGCTTTGTCTTCATATTAGAAACACTTCTACTATTCTTAGAACATGCAACTGTCATTGTTATGTGGTGCAGTAAAATACTTGACATTGTGCAAGCACATAAAACGTGCCTTTTTTTTATTAAGGTTTTATGGGGACATAAATGCTTTAGGGACCACACGGAGTGCACATAGTGCAGCAAGGATCTAGGTAAGAAGATGGGATTTCTGTATCTAGAGCCTGGAGGTTAATTCTGCTGTTTCTAGCCATTCTGGATGCAGTTTGCAATTCAAAAATGCTGACCTATATAGCCAGGTCTTAAGAAAAGAATATCAGTGTAGCAAATGTTAATGGTGACTTAAAGCTCACAATGGATTTTACACCGCCTCTTAAGGGTGCTTCAAAAAGGATTAGGGGTACAGCTCAGTGTGGTGTGCTTTCCATTCAATCCCCAGCACCATAATCAAAACAAAACACAAAGAAGAATACCTCAAAGATTCTAAAATAAGAGACTTCACTTGTTTAAGTTAACTTATTGGAATGAACAGAATGAAATTCCTAGAATTAGGCCTCCACCACAGACCTGAAGGGTCTCAAGAGAAGTGACAAAAGATACGTTATCAAATGGCAGTTGTTCAATTAACTCTCCTCTACTATCCTTTTATTATCACCATCATCATCATTTATTGTTCAAGACAGGGTTTCTCTGTGTAGCCCTGGCTGGCCTCAAACTCAGAGATCCACCTGCCTCTGCCTCCTGGAGTGCTGGGATTAAAGGTGTACACCACCATACCCAGCTACCATATATCCTTTTCCAATGAAAAAAATTTTATTAAAGTGTATTTATTTGTGTGTGCGCATGCTCGAGTGTGTATGAGTGTGTGTGTGTGTGTGTGTGTGTGTGTGTGTGTGTGTGTGTGTATACGTGTGCACGTAGTTCAAAAGACAACTTGCAGGAGTCAGTTCTCCTTCCTTCAACCTGTGCATTTTGGAGATTGAGTTCAGGCCATCAGGCTTGGCAGCAAGCATCTTTATCTGGTGAGCCTTATCTTAATCTACTTCTAGGCACCCAGAAATGCTTGGGTGTACTTATTTCCTTGGGTGTTTATTCTAGATTCTACAACTAGAGATTCTTAGTTGTGTCTCATTGAAGAGGGACAGAGTGAAGAACATGGCAGAAGACTTAGCCTCAGACTGAGTAGCAACGCCAGGAAATACAACACAAGTTCTCTCTGGGGTTGAAGAGCACACTGCTCAGACCACAAAAGGATACATGTATGTTGGGATGCCTCTTGCAGACAGATGTTTCCGAATGAGCCTTTCGGTGCCGTACCAGTTAAAACCCTTTGTAGCGTGTCCAATGCGTGGAAGATGGACACTTGCTAAGGAAAAGAAAAGATTCTGATAATCAGTGAAAAATATACATAAAGAAGAAATCAATTATTGATGGTCTCATGCAAAGTATACAATTACAATGTCAAAAATGTTCTGGGGAGGAATTGAAAGAGAGAAAAAGTAAGATTTTCTGTGGGACACAAGAACCCACAGGTTCTAGAAGTAAGCACACATGATGGACATAGATAATGACTGATGGGTGAATCATGAATTAAAACAAGTGTAAATTCTCCAAAAAGTAAAGAAATTCCACAAACATGAGTTATACTAGGCTGGGACAGGCTAGACTCTTTCAGAAAACTGTGAGTTACAGTGTGTGACAAGGAAGCCGATGACCACCTCTTCATCTGCATCTTCATCTCATCTTCATCCATGAGAACAATGCCCGTTAGATGGACACAGTACACAAGGAAAAGGCTATGTGAATACAAAACGATGTGGGCACGACCTGGTTTGCTTTTACTGTGCAAACCAAGGGGCGTCTTAACATTTCTTGCTGCCCTTCAAAAGTCACAGCATATGTCTGGACAGAAATTCTTCCCACCCTGGGCAGAGGGAAGGGCTTACCTTTCTTTTTCTTTGCTGCTAAAAATAACTTCTTGAGGCCCTCTTCTAGAGCCTCCATCTTAATGCCAGACAGGACATTGGAGCGATCACGGTGCTGAGCCACAATCAAGGCCAACTAGAAAGAACCACCATTAAACAGCTGTCAGGGCACAAGGCAGTCACATTGGCCACAAGTGAGCTGACCACAGAGAAGACATGGACTGTTACAGAGGACCTGGGCTGAGCTCTGTCCCTCCTGGATGCTACCTGGACAGCGGTATCCTACAACGCACGGCACAACTGGCCCATCTTATTTTGTGATAACTTGTAAAGGCTTTTTTTCCTTGTTTTAAGACAGGTTCAAAGAATGGACTTTCCTAAATGTTCTCCAGGGGAAAGATAACTGTCTGAAAACTCAGCTAATACTATGCCAGGAGTTCTAGATTTCAGTCTTCCAGCTGGTGCTCATCCACACCCCCTTCCCCCAAACCAGGACAACAGTCATCTCATCTTGTCCTAAGTCTGTGAAGACAGTGCCCCCCAGAGGTCCTCAAGGGAACTGCTGAGGCCAAAGCAATAGGATCCTATTCAGGCAAGCTGCTGTCCACTGTGAGCACTCTGCTTTCTTTTGCAGTGCTGGGGATTAAACCTAGGGCCCAGCACAAGCTAGGCAAGTGTCTATCACTGCCACATTCACAGCCACCAGCCGAGTCACTGGATTCTGTTTTTTATGCACAGACACAGTTGTCGCCCTCCGCCCACTCTGTGCAGTGTTTTAGAAGTTACTGAGTGAAGAAACGGAAAACACTTTGCTGTCAGCCACACAGATGACCAGGTCTTTGGGTGTGAGCGTCTCTTGGCCTCACTTTCTAACTCTTTTTCCAAGCCAGCAATGATCTGGCTTGAAATTCAAATGTGGATTTGGGCCTCAGACAATCAGATGGACATGATAAAAAATAAAAAATAAAACTCAACTACAGATACTCTGTGTGACAGGCACACGGGAAATAATTAAGATGTAAAGCAGGGGAGATGTGGGTTGCCTCCTGCATTCTGCCGGCTAGAAAGTATAATCCTTCACACAAATTTCCTATATAAACACAAATGATGAACCTCCAGAATCTTGCATCATCTTTTCTTATTCTACTCAGGAAATGTTTTTGATCACATTCTATGAGCCAGCACAGAATGGAGTACTAATGATAAAAAGAGACAGAAGGGGCTGGCTGCCAAGCCTATGACCCAAGTTCAATCTCTGAGACCCTCATGGTGGAAAGAGAGACAACTTCAAATTGCCCTCTAAACCAACACACATGTACAGGCAAGTACACAACACACACACACACACACACACACACACACACACACAGAGAGAGAGAGAGAGAGAGAGAGAGAGAGAGAGAGAGAGAGACGGAAACTAGGATGCAAAGAAAGACATCAAAGATGTGCATACCCAGAAACACAGAAGACTATGAGAACACAGTGAGAAGGTGGCTGGTCACATGCAAGCTGAGAAGAAAAGCCACTAGAGAAGCCAAACCCACTGTTGCCCCATGTGGTCATACAGTCTCCAGCAACCCTTGCAATGTTTCCAAGGCTGAAGCCACCCAGTCAGTGCCATAGGTGTGGTAGCCCTAACAAGCTACCGTGTTACTACTACACAGGCTGGGCAGTGAGCACTTAAGGGGTGGAAAGGGGAGGTTTCAAGAGAAGGTCTTAGGAGCCAAGCTTTAGTTCTGATATATGACAGGTTTTTCACTTACCAAATCTTGCCCTTTGTCTCGTGACTCTTTATCATCAACAGGAAATAAAAGGACACCTCCCAAACTCAAGTCTGAGTTTTTAAAGAGAGACAAAAGACCATTAAGTTCACTGAAGGGCTGTTCTGAATCTTCCTCACATGTTCATTTTCTAAGTCCAATCACATTTTTTTTGTTATTTTCTTGCCTTTTGAAATATGATCTCACCCTGTAGCTCAGGCTTTCCCTAAACTTGCAGCAATCCCCCTGCCTTGACTACCCTGGTGCCAGAACTTCAGGCATAGGCCACCATGGCTTGCTCCAATTAGGTTTTGCACTCCGCCTCCCTCTGATTTTTTCATAGCTGTTTTCTGTCTCCTGACCTGTCATCATCTTAGTATGGCACTCAGCTACTTTCTTCCTGCATTTTGGTGCCCTCCAAACTCATTGACCCTCACCTGTTACCAGCCTAGGGCCCCTGTGGTCATCACGGTGATTCCAAAGGCAGAGGAACAGGGTGGATGAGCTCTGAGCTGGAGACTCCTGTTTGTCTTAAAAAAACTCATATGCTGCACTCTTCTATTTCTATCTGTATATTTCCCTATCGTGCAAATCAAGTCAAGCTGATGCTCTAGACAAATGGGCCAATTTAGCTCTGGGCTTTACAGACCTAGTTTGAATTTTCTCTTCAAACAAAAATGGTAAAACACAAATGATAAATATCCCACATACCCTAATAGTTTAAGGCATTCTAAAACACCAGCAGCCCTGCTATACCAGACTCCCAATCCAGGGGACTGCCCCCCACCCACCCACATGGTCTCTATGATGTGGCTAAGCTTCTCTTTAAAATGCAGCTTCCCTCTCCTCCTAGGACAACAGCTCTACCCTAGGCTGCTTGGGGCTGTGTAACTGCCTAGGTCCTTCAGTCCTGCTAAGTGTGACAAAGACAAAAAAAAAAAAAAGAATGAGACTGTTGGGAATTCTACTGCCTGCCACCTCTAGGCAACAATCTGAATTCCACTCATCTTTCCAGACTTTGCTCACCCTCTGGGATGTCCCTGGCAGCTCTAGCACAGGCCCCTCTACTCTGCTGGGCCCCATGTCAATCCCTCTTCAGGGATGATGGCACAGCCCATCTCCAGTTCCACTGGCCATGACGCTGTAAGTCTGTGAAGCCACAGTGGAGTCTTCAAACTCCCCCAAATGTTCCAAGGAAATGTGGCCACTGGTAAGGGTGAAATCCAGTAGTATTCCCAATTCTCACTCTTACTTCAGTGTCTCCATACTGGGGATTTCTCTGCCTTCTTCACTCCCTCTCTTTTCTTGTACAAAGTAGATATTTCTAATTTAGAAATCCAAAATTTAAAATGAGCCAAAATCTGAGTTTGGAACTCAGATTCTCAGATGTCACCAAAGTAGAAAGTTGCCCACTTGACGTCATGTGATGATGGGTCATTAACAATACTGCTGTGTGAAATTACCTTCATGTTGCTTATTAGCTGTATGTGAAACATACACAGATTTTGTATTTAGACTCAGATCCCAACCCCACAGACTATAACATAATGTAAATGCAAATATTCTAAAATCTCTAAAAAATCTGAAATTTAAAACACTGTGGTCCCAAGCATTTTGGATAAGGTCTACTCAACCTGGACATGAAAAATCTACATTCTCATTCCCTCTTTTCTTGAACACCCGCTTCCTCTTCCTGCCTCAGTGACTAAGTGGATGCATCCCAGGCTCTGTCATCCGTAACCTCATTTATCCCTTGTGATTACAATCCAGGACTTCACACAGGGACTCCTCCATCCACACTCTCATCCCACTCACACGGGGTCCCAGATCAGTGTCCAGATCTGGAAGGACCTTTCACAGCAATCTGTGTCCCCAGAGCTGTGTTCATTCTATGTGCATACACCAACAATCTGTGTCCCCAGAGCTGTGTTCACTCTGT